AAGGACATGTACTGGGCAGAGGGAACAGCCACAGCAAGGGCCTGGAGGTGGTGAGCCTTTGGAGATCTCCCCTGACCAATGGGACACCCTGCCCATCTGTCCCTTTCTCTCTCATCCTGGCCTTCTCCTGGGCTCTGCAGGTGTGATCCGTTCGCTGCACAATCTTGGCCGTCTGGAGCGTGCCTTCTGCACAGAGACCCGGCCCTACAACCAGGGGGCCCGGCTGACAGCTTTCGAGCTGGTGTATGAACAAATCCCTGCCACCCTCATCACCGACAGCATGGCAGCAGCCGCCATGGCCCACCAGGGCGTGTCAGGTCAGCAGACTGGGTGCTAGCAAGCAGGGCTCCAGGCATCCAGGGCCAGGTGTTGACCCCCGACATCTTGCTCCCTAGCTGTCATCGTGGGAGCTGACCGTGTGGTTGCCAATGGTGACACAGCCAACAAGGTGGGCACCTACCAGCTGGCCATCGCTGCCAAGCACCATGGCATCCCCTTCTATGTGGCCGCCCCCAGCTCCTCATGTGACCTCCATCTGGAGACTGGCCAGCAGATTGTCATCGAGGAGCGCCCTGGCCAAGAGCTGACCGATGTCAACGGGGTCAGGATTGCAGCACCTGGTACGCCATCACTCAGAGCGGGGGGATGAGGGGTGGGTGCACCACAGCATCTGGGCACCTACAGTTAGATATCCCAGCCCCTTCACAGGGCAGGTAGCATTTGGGGTATCATCAATTTTCTGGGGTACAGGCAGCTTCTTCAAACCAGTTTTTGGAGTGGAAGCATATTGGAGGTCAAAATCAAGGTCAGACTGTCCAAACCATGAATCGGGAATCCTTGAGCAAATTGTCTTGCCATTCTCCACCTCTATTTTCTCACCTGAAGAAGAAATAACACTGTTCAGCCAAGTGTCTATGAAGAGAGATACTTCTCAGCTTCTGCACACTTCCTGGCTATGTAGCTGTGAGCAGGCTGCCTAGGTTCTCTCATCTCTAAGAGCTCCAGTGTTCCTGTCTATAAAATGAGCTGTTATTATGACCTGCCTCATAAACCCCACAGCTTTCAGTGAATTAACTCACGTGACATGGAGAACAGCCTGGCTCTTAGTACTCATTAACAAGTATGATTAAAAAACATAAAAAGGACCAGTTAAAACCCTGAGCACTGAAAATACTATAGGGCCACCACCCCATAGTCCAAGTATGGAGTCAGGGGAAAAATAACACTACAACTAAACGGAGGGAAGTCCTAAAATTCTGTTGTTTTCTGCCGTGATTTCTTACAGCTTTTTAAAAATGGATACATTAATTCTGAATTTTTTTTTCTCATTGTTTTTTTTGGTGCCTCTGCTTTCCTAGAGGCATAAGTAGCACTGATCATAGTTTATAAGACTGCCCAAAGCAGAGCTGACAACACACACACACCCCAAAATAAAACTAGGACAGCAGGACATGAGTGACACAGGCCACATGCAGTCTGTAGGCCCTGACACTCTGCTCCTGCCAATGGTCACAAGAACGCAGACCCCAAGAAAATGGTTCTTGTGATTTTTCCAAGAAAAGCCTTACATTATTTTACATATGAAATCTCCCACCTTTTGAAAACTGGCAGCTAAGTCAGTGAGTTCCTGACTAATGCTAAGTTTTGCGGATATAGGAGTAAAAAAAGACAAAAGTCTCTGCCTTCACAGAACTGACAGTTTCGTCAGGGAAGACAGACAATGAGCAAGAAAATAACAATTATAGAATGAGGTATGGGCTGAGGAAAAATAAATGAGGCAAGAAAGTGTCTACAGGGGGTTTAAATAGGATGATCAAAGGAGTCCTCACTGCGAAGGTGATGTTTGAACAAAGACCTAAAGGAAATGAAACATTGAATCATGTGCCATATATGAGGGAGAGCGTCTAGGCAGAGGGCACAGCCCATGCAAAGGCTCTGTGGTGGGTTCCTGGAGGTTCTTCAAGAGGTCTCTGGAGCAGGCAGAAGTGGGATGGATGAATATAAGATTTTGAAACCTTCTTGGACAGTGACAATCCAGGAATGACATGTGGGAAAGGGGTCTAAACTTGTTAGTGGGTGCCAAAGCCCTTGCTTTCGTGCACTTTTGGGGTGAGTATCCCTAGATTCTCAAGGATTCAGTAACTCGAACAACAATAGCGGGGTGGACAGGCGACAGCTTGAGAACTTTCACATAGCCAAATACCTACCTTCTTGCCTCCCCTCTCTCCCCTGCAGGAATTGGAGTTTGGAATCCTGCCTTTGATGTCACCCCCCATGATCTCATCACTGGCGGCATCATCACAGAGCTGGGCGTGTTTGCTCCCAAAGAGCTCCAGGCAGCCCTCAGCACCACAACCACTGTCTCCTGAGGGCAGAGACCTTAGATGGAGAAGTAACCAGGCTGGCTCTCCATACCCTACCTCCATCCTCCTAGGTTTTATAATAAAACTTATTGAATGGCCTGCCCCAAAGCTGACCTTCTTCCCCCAACCACACTTCCGCCTAGAGCAGGGAAAGCAGACAAGACCTTCGCATGGCTCTTAAGAGCCCAGCAGCTAGAGCTAGGCTGCCTGAGGTCACCTTCCAGCTCTGCCACTTTTCCTGCCACTTTTCCTGCTGTGTGATCTTGGCCAAGTCACTTCACCTCTCTATGCGTTGGTTTTTTCATAAAATGGGGACAATGCTAGTACCGCTCACTGTCTTAGGTTGCTCAGGACTGGAACGAGGGGTGACACCTCAGGTGCAGATTTTTAAAGGAGACACCAAAAAGCTCAGTAACCAAGATAAAGTTTCATGCAATATTTTTTAAAATCAAAATGCAAAAAGAAATCCATAAGGAACAAAATACTAAGATGTTAGAGAGAATGGAACCCTACATTTGCAAGCCTTGACCTTACCTCACCTGGGAAGTAAACCAGCCTTTGTTCCAGTAAACCTTTATTTACAACATCAGGCTGCCAGTAAAGGCTGTAGTTTGACGATTTGACTTTTTAAAATATTAAAATATTATTTTTTTTAAGTTTATTGGGGTAACATTGGTTAATGCAATTATATCATTTTCAGGTGTACATCATAATTTGACATCTATATATTCTATTGTGTGATTACCACCCAGAGTAAAACTTTATTTTTAAGTGTTGAAAACACTCTTAATTATGGAATTTGGGGCACCCTTAAATTTAAGACCAGTACTTCACTCATCTCACCCTTGTCCTAGGCCGAATTTCATGTATAGAGCATAAAATAATATACGTTTTACGAAACAAATGAGCTCCCAGTAAATAAGTGTTAGCTTGTGACCTTTCCTTCCAAATTTTTGCGAAACACGGCTTAGGATCAACTACCGCTATGGGTCGCTGTCACTTTAGTGGTGCCACATTATTTCCCGTGAGACCTTACGCCTCCCGCCCCATTGTATCCCATTGTGCCCTTCGCTTTCCTGCTACGACGGCTCCCAATCCGGCTGTTTCCGGTGCTCTATCATGGCGCAGGGGCAGCGCAAGTTCCAGGCGCGGAAGCCGGTGAAGAGCAAGACGGCTACAGTGGCGGCTTCGGAACGGAACCGGGGCCCAAGGAAAGGAGGTGAGGAGCGATCAGGGTGCTGCGGGGCGAGGTGAGCCCGGGGCTCTCCGGCCTCACACGAGTGCGTCTCTCCCCAGGTCGTGTTATCGCCCCCAAGAAGGCGCACATTGTGCAGCAGCGAAAGCTCAAGAAGGTGAGTGAGAGCGTGCGAGGGGCGAGAGATGAAGCTTAGGGACTGGCGCGGGGGACCAGAGATGGAACCTGGCGACAGAGGGGGACCGGGGATGGATGCTGGAGGCCGGCGCGGAGGATCGGGAATTGAGTCTGGAACCTGCGGAGGGCCGGGGGATGGAGCCTGGAGGTCCGTGGGATGACGTCTGGAACGGGAGAGGGGCCGAGGATCGAGGCTGGAGAACTCTCGGCTCTCTGAGCCTCACTTTCCTCTCGCGTTGGGTGGGTACAGGAACGTCACCTATTCAAAGGGCCTCGCGGAAGCAGGACCTGGCGTGCAAAACGTATTCAACACACGTTAGCTGCCTTGGCTGTTATTGTCTTCTTTAATAGGATTCTGGAGGGGATGTGGCGTGGGAAAGGAGTTGAAAACCCCAGCTTTCCAAAAAGGCAGTGCTGGGTGCAAATCGCGGCTCCATCGATGTCTAGTATGTGTTCACCTGAGCTTCTACCTGTGAAATGCCATAGTGATAGCACCTTTCTCCTAGAGTTGAAAGGGTTCAGTTCCAGCACAGGCCACCAATAAACATGAGCCGAGTTGGTTATTGTCCTTTTTGTGATTATCTCTAAGTGCAGCTTTTTTTATATAAATGGGTAGGAGATTAGTTTATGAAGAAGTTACAGAGGATTAAAACTGGTTTTGGAGTCAGATCTGAATTCGAATTGTAATCCACACTAACTAGTGTGTAATCTTGAGCAAATTGTTTAGTTTCCGTGGGGGCCTTGGGTTTTGCAGACCTTGCTACCCAGCCACCTGCTTATCTCCATCTGACCTTGGGAAGGGGGACTGTCTCATGGGCATCTCAGACTCAGCATGTCCAAAACCAAGTTTAATTCTCTCCTCCCCCTTCCCGACATAATCCATTCAGGAGACTGTCCTTCCAAATTTCAAAATATTTGGGGTCATCCTTGATTCTCCCCTTTCTCTCACATGCAGGTAGGATCCCATCCTTTTTGCTGTTAGGATTAATGTAGGATCTGCGCATTTACCACCTCCCTGACCACCTCCAACCTGCAGCCACATCCTCCCTGATCTGCCTTCCCCAACCCCACTTGTAGCAGCCAGAGGCACCTGTGAGCACTTAAAGTCAGATTTTGTCACTTCTCTGCCCAGGATCCTCCATAGCTCCCACCTCACTCAGGAGAAACCCATGTCCTCCACAAGGCCCTACACACTCTGCCCCTGTCACCTCCCTGCCCTCTTCTCCCTCTACTCTCCCCCTTGTTCCCTCCAGCCTCACTGACCCCTTAACTGCTCCTTGTCCCACCTCAGAACATTTGCACTGGATATTTCCTGTGCTCAGATTCTTCTCCCAGAAATTCATATGACTCCCTTCCTCTGAATCAAGTATGACTGCAAGTCTTGCTTCTGAGGGGTCATCCCTGATGGCAGCCCCACAGCCCCACCCCTCACTCCCTAGCCCTTGTTTTCTCTGTAGCAGAACTTATCATTTATCATCATTTAACAGTTTGTCAGTGTATCATTGGCACTTATATTGTCCCCGTATATGCACTGAGTGTCAGCTCCACTAGATTTTTGAGTCTTGTTTGCTGTTGTGTCTCCTAGATTTTTGAGTCTTGTTTGCTGTTGTGTCTCCTGCGCCCAGGCATATGGTGATGGTTATGGTGGTTGTGATCATTGGAACTCACATGGGCAGGGCAAGGACATGGTTTGGGGAATATGATTAAACTACTAGTTTGAGACCCAAATGCACTTGGCCTCCAATCCCTGTGCCTTTACCTGCTCACATCCCTGTCTCTCAGAGCACCAGTTCACCATGTGCAAAGCAGAGATGACGTGGGACAGTAAGACCTGGAGGCTGAGACCAGAGGCTCTGTGCACACCACACCAGGTTCCAGTCTCCCCTCATGTGGTTTGGGAACACTGGGCAAGTGCCTGCCTCCTCGCTACAGGAGCTTCAGTTTCCCCTCTATGCAGAAGTGCAGAAACTGAGGTCCAGAGATGAGTGGGGGGCTTTTGTACGTGACACCCCAAAGAGTTCAAGACTTAAGCCCCAGCCACCAGACTGTCGGGTGCTGTTTCGGGGGGAGTTGCTGATCCAACCCCAGATCACTCCCTCTACCTCGGAACACAGTCTGATGCCCCTGCGGTTGCCCCCTCAGGACCTGGAGGTCGGGATCCGGAAGAAGATTGAACATGACGTGGTAATGAAAGCCAGCACCAGCCTGCCCAAGAAGCTGGCGCTGCTGAAGGGCCCCACCAAGAAGAGGGAGGCAGCTTCCTCCTCCTCCACCTAGACACCTTCCTAAGGACTCAGCCCAGTGGAGGCCATCACCACGGCCCCTGCCTCCATGCTCAGACCTTTCCAGGTGACCCCATGGGCAGCATCGTGGACAGGAGGAGCCCTGCTTCCCAGACCCTTGTGTTGAAGATTGAACTTCAGGGGGTGGCGGCCTGGCCTGTGAGCAGGTGACCAGCACATCCATTGTGCGTGGTTCAGTTTTCCTGGGTTCCAAGAACTCAGCAATGGCCCCAAGGATATGTTCACCAATTTTCTATGTACCCCCTCCCCATCTCCCCAGTTCCTGTGTCCACTGGTTTAACTCAGAGCAATCAACCTGATTTTGTCATTCTTCCTGCAGTCACATGCTCCTGTGAGCAGGTCAGTGCTGAGGCCGCAGGCCAGGTGCTCTAACCCGGTCAGCCCCAGCAATTTCTACAGGAGACCAACCACGTGCTCAAGGAAGGACGGCTAGGCTTCTGCACGTCCAGCCTGGGAGCTAGTAGAGAGTCTTTACCTCCCTCCGACCCCGGGTGACTCACTAACCTGCACGCCTTCCCCCGCCCCCGCCATCGCCCGCCAGGGGCAAGCCAGGCAACATCGTTTTCCCATCCATAGGACAGATGTTGACACCACTGGTAGGGTCACAGTGCAGATTAAACCAGAATGCACTTAGGAACTGCTCAGTGCCACCTCAATCTATAAAAAAATCATAACATCTAGTATTTACCTAGCACCGCCTGTGGACCAACCATTGTTTTAGTGCTTTCCGCCCGTCACTTCATCCCAGGTTGGGTTAACACTGCAGAGCCGGGAGTTGAACCTACCACTGGCTGAGTCCTGGTGTGTGCTCTCAGCTGACCATCCCCTGCCTCTCTTCCTGCACCAAGATTCCTGTTTCATCCTGAGCACACCCTCCCTGGAATTGTCGCTCTTGTGAGGGGCAGGTCACAGTTCAGGGACCAGGCTGGGCCCAGGGAAACTCCAAACTAGTTTCTCTATTAAATTCGGGCTCTGCTGCCACAATTCCAGATTTTTCAAGATGTACGATTTTTGTGTTTGTGGAATTGCTCTTTTTTGTGGGGCGGGGGGTGGTTAAAACTCACATAAAATTGATATTTAAAAGCATACAATTCAGTGGCATTTAGTACATTGACAATATTTTGTGACCATGACCTCTATCAAGTTCTAAAACTTTTATCACCTAAAAGATGACCATGTCCCCATTAGCTGTCACTCTCCATTCTCCCTCCCCCCATCCCTGGCAACCACTGATCTGCTTTCTATCTCTCTAGGTATTTGTCGAATGAAGGAAGGAATGAATTGTTTTTGCAAGGAAAAGTTTGTGTTTCAGTGATTCAGTTACCATCATTCAATGCATCATCTCTATATAATACACCTTCTCAGGCTGTCTGAATCATAGCATTAGCATTTTCTTTGACCAATTTTACAACTCTGTAAGCTGTAAGCAGCTGATAGCAATACCAAACCACTCTTAACCTGTAAACCAGCAAATTCCTGCCCTTCCAGAAGATCTACTGATAACCCTCCTCCCCCATGTTAAAACCAGTTTGCCTCCATATGTATAACATAACATCTGCCTGGGTCCCACACATGTTCAATTAAATGTTTAACACCTGTTGATCTTTATATGTCTGTGAGACTAAATTTCACCCTCTTGGAAATTATCTATGAACCTTTCTGGAATCTTGGAAGGGCAGGTGAGGGCTGGGACAAGGTGAGCCCTCTGGCTCTTCCCTCAGCCACCAGGAGGTACCTCAAACTCTGGCACTCGCCTGAACAAGAAGGGTTCCTGTAAACTACTGGTTCGCTTTTCCCTCTGACTTCTGCCCCTTTGAGGAGGACCCCAGGGGCAAGGAAAGGCATTCAGGTGTGACAGGTATGGGGTCTGGAATGTCAACCCACTCGTTCCCCCATTACCCCACCCACCCATGCTCCCCAAACAGCCACATTTTTCCCTGCGGCCACTGTCCTGCATGACTTTTCTTGATCCTTTCACCTGTCCACAAACTCCCCCATAAATGCTAGAGCCAAGAGCCCCAGACTTTGGGAAATCCTACACCAGTTTCTGTCATTTCCTATCCCTGTCAGCAAGTCCATTCACCTCTCTGAGCCCGTGTCCCCATCTGTTAAATGGGGGTCCTAACACCCCTACCTCAGACTGGAGAATTTGGGAGCCCGAAGGCCAGAGGACTTGCAGGGGTGATTATGAGCTGCCCTTGTGTTCTGTGGGGCAGGAAGGAGCCCAAGTTCCATCTCTAGGCTTGTCCTCTCAGCCTATCCCCTTGGGCCTCTCCCCCAAGGGCAGGGCGATCATTAAATGTGGCTTTTCAGACACAATTATTCCTCCCCAAGTCTTTTTCTCTCCTCCCTTTACCTTCCCCCTCTGCCTGGAATGCCCATTTTTTTGCGGCAAGGCCCTGACACTTTGCCCAAGAACTTGTGTTCTAAAAGGAAAGAAAAGAAATGTAAGAAGCAAATCTTGCCAGCTGGGCAGGCCAGAGGGGCTGCGGGGACCAGGAAGTGAAACTGCCCTGGCTAGTTTCCTGCCTGAGTCAACAGGGGCAAGAGGGTGCTTGCTGCAGGGGGCCGGCAGAGGGAGGGACCCTTGGAAAGTTAGGGTGGGGGGCCACAGAGCTGGGGGACCATGTCCTCCTCATCTGAGCCTCCAGAATTGCCCCATTTCCTGTGGGTCTCAAGTACACGTGGGTTTGGGGTCAGGAGCTGAGGATGCCTAGACAGTGAGCTCATGGCGGACTGGTGGGATAAATGTGGCTTCTATTTCCCTGAAGCCCCAGCTTGCTGGCTGCACTGGGAAAGGGGGCCACGCAGGTAGCTGGAAACCCTTTCCCAACCTCAACTTTCCTAAAAGTGTTTCCAGGAAGAGAACAAGCTTGAAATAGGCCTAGAGACTTCATCCTGAGGGCATATGCATCTTCCTGGGGACTTTCTGACCCTGCATTGTCTCAGGATTGCTGTGTGACCTTGGGCAACTTTCTGAGCCTCTCTAGGCCTCATTCCCCTTACCTGTAAAACCAGGGTATCAGAATAGAATCTTGGTTTATCCCAAACTCAGCATTTGATCCTCAGCCAATGTGACAGTACCAGCCCATCCACCCAGGCTTGAATGCTGGCCCTACCCTTTCCTGCTGTGGACCTTTTAAGCAAGTCACCTGACCTTTCTGTGCCTCAGTTTTTCTCATTCATGTAACAGGGATGACAATATTAGCTTCTATTGTTAGAGCATAAAGTAAAACATCCTCACCCTGTGAACAGATTCTCTCTTCTTCCTAAACATCTTTTCTTCCACTGGCAGGGAGTGACTTCTCTTATTCAGCATCTTAGGACTCCCACCTGAAGCATCCTCAGGGACAGGGACCTGGGCTTAGATGACACAGCACGTATCACATGCTTTAGAGGGCCACTGGGGAGAGCCGGACCCTGGGTCCTGTTTGCAAGGGGAGCACCTGAAACACAAAATTCAAAAACATTCTCCCTGCCTCTGCCCGACCTCAGTTACTCCTTCCCCATGGGTCTTTTTCTCAAATCCTTTGCAAGAAAGGATTATTCCAATAAGTCTATGGCTTCCCAGCCTGGATGAGCTCAGGCGAGGACTCCACCTCTCCAAGCCTGTTTCCCCATCTGAGAAATGGAGATGACCATCCTCATTTTGCAGTTCTGTTGGAAAGCTTAACTGTGATAACATATCTAAACAGCTAGAGCAGTCAGTCAGTACACTATTATTTTTGTTTCTATTGTTGTCATTGTGGCAGGCTCTGGTTTCTCAAGACCACTGCTCTCTAACAGAAATTACAATGCAAGTCGCATATTTAGCTTTAAATATCCTGATACCACATAGAATGGAACAGAATAGCATAGCATAAATATAGATAGCATAGCACAGAATAAAATGGAATGGAATGGGATAATAAAATAAAATGGGTGAAATTAATTTTGTATTTTATTTAACCCAAATTTATCTAAAATATTATTTTAACATCTAATCAATATAGAAAATTTTGAGAAATTTTACTTTTTTTTTTTTTTTCCCCAACTAAGTCTCTGAAACACACATTGACAGCACAGACCAATTCAGGCCAGCCGCATTTCAAGGACAAGGCCACTTGTGGCCAGGGGTGACCATACTGGACAGTGCAGGTTGGAGAGAGTTTACTGAATGGTGGGTTGGGGACTGGCCAGAAAGTGCAGCTGTGAAACTGAAAATTCCTGGAAGGAGAAAGCTAGCGTTTCCATAGGGGGAGGGGCAGCAATGAGGCCACTTAGGGGCCAGCTTGGGTTTTTCCTGTTCTGTAGATCATTTCACCTGAATAGGAGCAAAGCATGAATTGGTTCACTCGACAAGTTATAGACTGAGTGACTGCTCTACGCCTGGTGTTGTTCAGGTGCTGGTGGTACAGCAATGCACCAATTAGCCTCTTGGGGCTCATGGTAGGGAGGGAGAGACAGAAATTGAACAATTGCTGAAATAGAGAAATATAATGATAACAGAGAGAGGTATGGTGAAGGGAAAATGCAGGGCTCTCTAAGGACAAGGAGTAGATAAAGACTATGGACGACTTCCAGGCCAAAGATGTGGCCTGGACAAACTGGGTCAGAAAAAATAATAAGAGGTAGTCATATTTGACATGTATTACATTGAACCTTATGAAATTGTCAGCAATTTCATATGACTCAGTGTAATATTTAGGGCATAGAATGGATTGCGGCTTCTTAGCTTGGGGCTCAAGGATGTACTTGAATTGAGCTCTATTTCAAGAGAGAGGCTCTACCAACAGGCCTGTGATCTCCACGAATTCTAGTAAGAGGCCTGTGACCTCCCCACCCTTCAAAGAATCAAAACGACCCGGCACCTAGAGAGACTGAGAGTTTCTCGCGTCACGCAGCCCAGAGGAAGGAGGGGCTAAACTGCTGCCTGGGGATCCAGCCGCTCAGTCTCGCTCCCCGGCAGAGCCGTGTTGATTGTCCCCTTGCGGCGCCCGGAAGCGACCCTCAGTAAACAAAGCCGTGTGTGGGCGCAGCTCCAGCTGCCCGGGGCGCGCTGTCCAGCCCAAGGGGGGCGGGGGAGGAATGTTGTGAATGAACCCAGAGCCCGCCCCGAAACTCTACATAAGGCCTGCGCCCCGGGGATTCTCCCTCTCTGATTGGCCTCCGGCACCCCTTGATTGACAGGGTGGCTCGCTGAGCACTCTTATTGGGTCTCCGGAAAAAGAGGCAGTACATATAACGAATGAGCAGCGGCGACTTGGAGACCGGTCTGGCGGTGCCTCCAATGGCGGAGGAGGGTCTCGGAAGCTGACGGGGGGGCCAATGGGGACAGGACGGCGGGGGCGGGACGACGGCGGAGGATAAAGCGGCGGCCGAAGCAGCTTCATTGTTGTGAAGAATCT